CTTTTAAGTTAGAGCCTAGAGCACTGAGTGGCTATGGAACAGACAAAAGTTACATCGTACAGAGTCTTACTAATCTATCAGTCAAGTGATTGTACAGAGTCTTACTAATCTATCAGTCAAGTGATTGCAGCCTAGATTGAAAGAAAGCAAATTTCATTCAGTCTTTATTCCCTTCCAATAAGCAAAGAAAAGGGGAGGTGACCACTGCTAGTCCACCTCAATATTCTGTTAGCCAATCTGTTCACCGCCAACTTGAGCCACTCCTTTTAGGGCTGACCTAATCTCGATACCAGTGTTTTACCAGTTTCGGCAGGCCTTGTCACTCTTTCTCATCATGTCTCTCTCCCTCTTTCTCATAAGCTGTCAGTAATTCCTCAAAGCGCAGATTTATTGCAAAGATTGTTCACACATTCTGCACCATGTGTTCGCAGTCACACCCGCACCCAACAGCAGAAGTGACAGCGGGTTCGCATACAACGCCTGAGATACATCGGTATTGTAGCCCTGGAGCCTTTGCGCCGTCTTCTCACACTCAGCGAGACGAAACCGTGGTGCCGGTTAAAAACAGTGGGGAACTGGCCGCCACTGTCCTCTCGGATGGTCACGGAAAGCAAGACGTGTTTGCCTATTATCACTTCCCTCACATTCAAACCACGCATCGCCGTGCTGTGACCTGCAACCGAGCTTGCCTCTAGGAAGCAGTAGCAAGGTGATGTAACCGCAGCCACGGAGAGCTGTCGCCTGGCCGCGTTCGGAACGAGCCGTTCGAGAAAAGCTATTCGCACTCAAGAAAATAGCACACAGTCAACGAACCGTGCGGAGAGAGAGCCGAAAAAGTAGTTGTATAACGTACAGTGCCGCCAGCCTATTCTGCACCATTGACATACCAGCGGCAGAACATAACAGGGGCCAAAGAAGAGGACAAGCTTGCTTTGGTTTTGCCATCTGGGGTATTAGATTCCAAAGCCACAGTTCAATTATGAGGCACACCACAGTAGAAGTTCACCTATGACAAAGATAGGTGACCTCAGTAGGTGAGTTCTGAATGCAGTGACTTGGTAACAGGGCCCGTCAACTGCAGGACTATCGTTAAAGTGAGGAGGCCTGTCAGGGTAGCAAAATCGTAACAGAGAGAGGACCCGTGAGGACATACTGTGGCGCCATCTACCGGAATCCTTCTGTGACATATAAAACGACATCACGTGCTGCCGGCTGTGCAACGTGTTTGACAACTCCTGTAATTCAGGCTGTTCTGCTGTGGCTCTTCTCGCTTCACAACCATCAGTTGTGTTTGTATTAGCTGCGTTGTATTAGCTGCGAAGCAATGTATAGTGTCTCCAACAAAGATTTTTAGCGGGCCATCGTAAGGTCATTTCCACGCCATGCATTTTCGACGGAGCACATGCGCATGGCGCCATGGACACACAACGTGAAGAGGCGTTCCATTAATAAGTGGGTTCTTGTTAAAATGATCTAGTAATCTGCAAGTCCAAGCATTCTCACTTTGCGCGAATGTTTATGTTTTTGACGCAAGCCTAATGGCGTGCACCTGTCTCATGCTTTTGCACGGAAAGTGCCCGGCCGTGATGATAACGTTTTGATCACAATGGACTGCCTCGCAGGATTCACGGCAACACCTTTCCCAATAGTTGTTGGAGGGGTATTAAGTGGCTGAAGGAAACGGGGATGCTTTGGCATTGGTTAAATTCGCTTGACTTTCCCCGAGGGCATCTAGAGCTTTTTTGCACAACATATTACTCTTCACAAGAACCGTGGTTTTTGCGACCTTTCACTTTCACCAGAATTATTACTGGATGATTTTTTCAAAAGACATGTATTTGAATAGGTCAAAGTTCACCCACATATATTTGGTCTCCCAAATCCTCACTTTCACTGCACGCGCTTCTATGCGCGCAGTGTATTGACTGATGTGATGCGCGAATGTTGCCATCATACCTGCTCTCATCATTTGCTCTACTACTAAATACAATTACCGTATTTTGTTTTCAGTGACTCTACTGGTCTCTGGCATCAACCAATTTGTTTACCAGCAGCTGAGCACATCACGGCTGCTAACAAAGGAGACATCCGGATATGCAACGCAAAATTACAGCATTAAAACAAAATCGTTCTCGACGCCCTAAGCTGCAGACAGCTGGAAAAGGCCCGTCTGCCTGGTGTGAATAAATCGCAAATTTCTATGTGTAGTAGATTTCCTGAAATTTCCACATCATAATCAACGGTATCAACCCCAACGCAGTACAAAAAGTATTTTCGCAAAAGTGCTTGCCGCACACGCGATACTTAATGCTCGTTTGTTTTCTTTTCTTTGTAAGTTATTGAACATCCATCATCTTGGTTTTAGCGTATGCACAAAAACTCGCACCAGGGTGAGAAGTAGATACCGCATCATGCACTCCTTTAACCATAGAATGGCAGAACAGAATGGTTGCTGTAATTATACTCTTTGGAAATCGTGCTTTCTAACCTGGTACAAATAAAGGCAATCAATTCCTATGCCTACAGATCTGCAAAGTACACCGTCATACATACCGAACATTTCATCTCCAATCCCAGGTGTGAAATCTTTGCGGATAGACGCACGTTAAAAAAAAAAGTGGCTGCTGACAGGGCTACACACTTGAGGATGAATGCGGAGCTGTTTCGCCAATTTCAGTTTTATCCGTGAAGTGTATGGGTGCAGAGACATTTTGGAGAAACTCATTTACATTAGAACTCACTCGAATGCATCTGGTACTGCGACAACGAGCGTATAAACAAACCTGTATGCTATAAAATGAACTGGCTCTGAGTTGCAACCAAGCACGCCGCACTGACGGCAGAGGCGAGCCCTGTGATGCCGTTTACTATGTCACAGTGACAGCAGGGCTGGCCTCTCCAGTGGTCGCCCTCGCTCCCAATAGCGAAGAGCCCTGTCACAGTAAAGCAATGACTACAGTGAGGGGGCCTGTCACCGTAGTGTAATGGTAAAAATGAGAGGGCTCATCGCTGCAAACTTGTAGTCATTTTAGACACCACTGTCTAGCTGTTCTGGTGGCGTTGTGAGCTGATGCGCAGTTGGGGGAGTGGTCGTGCCGCAGGTAGTCAGTTGTAATTTTCGTTATGAAATGTCTTACTTCTTTTTCTTTTTTTACAACGTAATGCGGCAAGAAAATTATATCGCTATATGCGGCAGTTATTAGATAGCCCTACCGTAAGGATTTCGTGGCGCAGTGTCGTTGGTATTCGACTTTGGTTCAAATCACACTTTTTTTTTCTGCTTTCAGGTATTGTTTCAAGTACTGTTACTTTTCTTTAAATGGTAATTTGGTTAATCACCGAGGGTATAATTATCGGTTTTTTTATGACCAACGTGAAAGGAAGACCTTTCCCCGATGATATCCGATTGATACTACCCTGGGCGAGCAGATTCCATTGTATGTGTGTAAATTAACTTTATTACAACCACTCTCGGCAGGGTTTTCATCCCTTTGCACTGATACCGTAGGTCCAACTAATAATTTTTTACACATATTATGATGTTTCCAAATCAATGCAATCCACATATTTTTCGTGTCACTGTGTAAAAGCGACATATATATGGGCTGATGCCAAATGATGTACAGGACAACATAGAATGTGTTCCAACCCTGAGGGTAGTGTAGTTGAACAGTATGTTTCAATAAGTCTCAAATCCACAATACATGTGACTGCCACTTCAGGTCTACTTCACCTGAAATAGCAAACAGACTTTATGTCATCGAATCGGCTCCTTTAAACAAGGGGATATGCACGTCGCTTTCATCCCATAGTGTGCTATTACTACGCAAACGTAGACAAACATCAGAACTCTCGGTGGTGCGGTAGATACTCGCGCAGTGGTGTGCTCTCTGCAGCTTCTCCCCATCCCGAGATGACGCTTGTCCTGTAAGAGCTAAATGTGTTCCATAGTGTTATCGAAAATTAAAAATCGAGCGTGGAAGGCGTGCGCGTGACCAGTCATCTGGCTGTTTTAGTTTAAAAGAAAGAGAAAAGTTCAGTTTCTCAGCGTAAATCGAACTGAAGCCGTGCACCAGCAACGCATCATGTTGCACACAAACAGTGTACCTACAGCGCCTTGAAAATACAAAGCAGTAGGATTGTCAAACAACCGGCAAAAACAACAACTTGATTTCCTTGCAAAACAAAAAGCAAAATTACGACTCCTTGAAAACAGTAACGTCAATATTGACGCATTACCCTGAGAAAGAAGTAAAATAGCAAAACGAGAATTAGAACTGCCAACTTTCGGCACGACTGCTTTCCCAACTGCACATCAAACCACTGCACCACCGGAACAGCTAGACGGTGAAGCCTAAAACAACTGCAAATTTACAGCAACGAGCCTCCTCATTTTGTCATTGCTTTGCGGTGACGGGGCCAATTGCTATTATGACGACCCCTCCCTCGCTATTACAATTTCACTATGGTGGCGGGCGCTGTCAACGTAATCACGATTACCCTACACTGATGGGCCCTGCCATTCTAACCACAGTGCTGCGTTGACGGGCCCTGTCACCATAGTCAATGCCGTTCTGAATACAATCATCTGTGATGTTGCCTATTAAGAATACAATTATTAGTAATAACTACATGCACAAATAAAACATTCACAAGCAGTGCCAAAAAAGAGGCAGAATGCTTACGTGGTGTTACCTTATAAGAATACAATTATAGAAATGACTACATGCACAAACAAAACATTGACAAGGAGTGCCAAAAAAGAGGTAGAACACTTACATGCCCAAAGAAAGATGCATGGGAAAGAAAGATGAGCAGAAAAAAAGGGGCCAGAAGAAGATGAACGCATCTAAGTACCCCCGGTAGAGCAAAATAAGAATGTCATATGCATTTTCTTTCATCCCCAAGAAAGCAAAATAAGAACGCCATATGCATTTTCTTTCATCCCCAAGAGAGCAATTTGTTGGGATAACTGAAAAGCAAACAAAGCCCGCCCTCACCTGATTCCCTGAACCCTCAAAGCACCACCTGTTTGCAAGTGCAGCAGAGCACCTCACTCCTTTGGTCCTGCTTGACTTCTGGAGACTCACTCACAGAGTTGTGCTCACCGGCCCCCACAAAACTCCAACTCTCCTGCACATAGACGACAAGCATGGCTTGTAGCTTCCCGTAAATTTGCATGTGGCCACTTGAGAACACATTTTTTTTGTCTTTGATAAAAATTCTCAAGCCTCTTTTCCATTTTGCCCTCAAATTCTGCCTCATTATGACAGCTGGAAGGGTTACTAACCTCATTAGTGTTTGCAGTTGGACACTGGTGCCGGTTACAGTTCAGCCCTGCAAGCTTAAAGCAATTGATTGATTGATTGATATGTGAGGTATAACGTCCCAAAACTACCATATGATTATGAGAGACCCTGTAGTGGAGTGCTCCAGAAATTTTGACCACCTGGAGTACTTTAGCTTGCGTCCAAATCTGAGCACACCGGCCTACAGCATTTCTGCCTCCATCGAAAATGCAGCCACTGCAGCCGGGATTTGATCCCGCGAACTGCGGGTCAGCAGCCGAGTACCTTAGCCACTAGACCACCGCGGCAGGACAAGCTTAAAGCAAATGGAGCATGAAATGTACTTGTTTCACACAGTTTTGCTTGAGCTTGCACCATAATTTTCATTCGTGGATTAAGCTACAGCCCGATTACCTCGAGCATGTGAATGATAGATTTATTGAGGCCATTAATGATATCTAGAATTGTACATGCCAAAACCACATTAGGATTGTTAAACACCATAGAGGAGGGCTCGGCCACCCGGGGTTCTTCAACGTGCACTTACATCGCACGGTGCCTCTACCGTTTCCCCTCCATCGAAATGCGACCACTATGGCCTTTGAGTCAGTAGCTGAGCACCGTCGCCACTGAGGCGGACTGTTGTTAAGTACATAAGGCTACATGCACACACGCACACACACAAGTGTTTACTAGGACATTACTTTATTATAAGTCTACAACATATTGAAGATAGAGGCGGAAATGTTGTAGGCCCGTGTGCTCAGATTTGCGTGCACGTTAAAGAACCCCAGGTGGTCGAAATCTCCGGAGCCCTCCACTACGGCGTCTCTCATAATAATACAGTGGTTTTGGGACGTTAAACATCACATATCAATCAATCAACAACATAGTGAAGATTCCAACTCATGGGTAAGCAGAAGCTTCCTTTGCATCATTCACAACAGACCACAGGAGGACCAGTGAAGTAAGGGGTGTTTATAATTCACTAAAGGTGTACCATGATGCATTTGCTTCATCACCACAGCAAGTCCATTTCTCGTGGTGCACTGAGAAATTAAACAAATGGTGATTGTTACTGAATACGACGTGCAAGGTAAGTTTCTTGAGACTGCCCCCTACGGTCCCCCAAAGCTCTTGTCCTATGCCCTGAAACTGTCTTTAGCAGGCTGAGTGGCCATTGTTGTGGGAAGGAGGTTGTGTTTACAACCCAATGCCTTCAAGAACAGAACGACAAGAAAGGAACAAAAAGAAGACAATGACGAAGACAACGACCCTTTGTTGTCGTTCTGGTCTCGTGCTATAACAATCGTCATTTCGTACCAACTAGCCCAAACCGCCACGCCTTCAAGAAGGCTGGGAGGTTAATCGGAAGAAAAGCGTCCACTTTGGTGGCCTGCACAGGGTAAGAGGAAGCAGAGAGGGGAAATGAAGAGAGAGGCCACAAATGGCCATAAAAAGATGCTGCAATGAAAGCACAATTGTGCTGACACTGCAATTCATCAGTAAATCCACGACAGTATTGCCCTTGGCTTTAATGATGCCTCAAACTTAAGTACAAATGCGAACCAGAGCTTGCAAGGTCACTCTGCATGTAATAAAAATGGTCAAGTGATCTAAACGCTGTTCCATGTACCTGATCTTGGGGGTCACATCCTTTACTGACTGAAACGTTATGCCACCTCCCACAAAAAATAACACCAATCCACAGTTCACACTTTTTATCACGGAAAGACACATACAACCTAGAGCACTGCACGTGACCGAGCCGACCCGAAAGTTCGAGGGCCAGGTAAGGCAATGTTGGATCGAGCCCAGGCCAAGCTTGCGCCTATGAGCTTCTGTCTCGAGTCGGTCTCAGGCCTGAGGCAGGCCCGTATTAGGCCTGGGTCTCATATACCAGGTGTTTGAACAAATTACATAGAGGAGGCATCCGCACGCTATCCACAGCATTCCCTTTACTTTGGCACAAGGCATCTTCAAATGTGCACAAGCATTATTTTTGGCAGTAATTAAATAGATTAAGAAGTTGACTTTTCACACAATTTAAAACCATTAACTTATCATAAAGGCTATTTTCAAAGTGAATGGCAGATGGGCTGTTTGGTGCACCGGTTTCAGTTTTGCCAGCTAAATCAGTCAGATTTCATCACTCTGCGCTGATCTCCAGTGGCCGCCTTTCAAAAATTTGGAAATGGCTATAGACTATTCGTAAGCTGTAATTATGGTCATAATTAGTGCACATAGAAGCTATCATCATTCTTTTCATCTGCGGTGACATCTTCGACTCTTCAAACACGGATAATCTTCACAGATTTTGGCATTTAGGCAGTGGCGGTCACGGCGGCTGGAAGTCCATTCCACTAAACAACATTCTTCGTTTACGCAGGTGTTTCACGTGCACCAATTGTGCAAGTTACCTGCTATCGACAATCGTGGCTATCGAGGATTTCCTCCGGGTCCTCAACACGTGTGCTCGAAATAACCAGTGAACCAACGTCACCACCTTCTCAAGACAATCAACCGGAAACAGCTCTGCACCGTCGCAGACCAACAAGACATCTACTGGAGACCCTAAATAAGCCTGACATGGTTTGGCTCTGATTGCATTTTGGCAGTGGCGGTTACGGCGGCTGGAAGTCCATTCCACTAAACAACATTCTTCGTTTATGCAGGTTGGTTGAGCACTGTTTTGTATTATCAGTTTGCTTTTTTGTTGCCGTGGTCGCTGCTGCCAATAGTTCAACTGTTTCATTTTTTTGCATGATGCCCTCTAATGCAGAATTGGCATGTGAAGTGCAACATCTTCGCACTGAGATCTCGCAGCTTCGTGAAAGTGTGTCAGTCATGAATGCTTTCTACGAGAAAACGAAAAGGAAACAAGATTCTGTCACTACTGAAAACAAGTCTCTACAGACACTTAATGATCAGTTGACTGCTAAAATAACCGACATGAAACAGCTTTCACGAATAAACATCATCGAGATAAAAGGTGTGCCCTGAAAGAAAGGTGAACATTGCACCACCATTCTTTATAAAATGGGCGACGTAATCGGATGTCCTGTATGTCCCACTGATACTGATGCAATTCACCGGGTGCCTGCAAAAAAGGACGCAAACATAATAGCTAGATTCTGTTCCCGGAACAAGAAAAACGAATTTCTGAGTAAAGCACGCAAGGCTCGCCTGACAACCCAGGCACTCGGCTTTCCTCAATCAGAAAGTGCAAGCATATACATAAATGACCATCTGACGCCTGAGAACAAGAGACTGTTCGCACAAGCGCTCTCTCTGAAAAGAGAAAAACACTGGAAATTTCCATGGGCTGAAAATAGTCGTATCAAGGCAACGAAAAACTGAGGATAGCAGAGTCCACATTATCTCCAACATTCAGCACCTGTCTGTTATTACGGAATAGTCACTAGTCATCAACCAAATGGCAGTTATCAAACTAACATGGCATTGAATGATTATGTGTCACTAGATAAATTAAGTGCATTATTCTCAATGTGTAAAAATAGTACAAAGTTCATTCATTTTAATGCACAATCAGCACGTAATAAGGTAGATCAAATAAGCACTTTCTTGATAACTCTGTCCTGAACCTGAATATCTTATGACAACTGAGACATGATACCGAAATGAAACGGAAGTTTTGATACCTGGCTATGCAACTTACTTTTTGAACCGTGCCAGAAAATGGGTGGTGGCGTGTTGTTGATGGCTAAAAATTCCATAATATGTTAGTTATTTGATTCAAGAATTTTCCCGCATCACTGATGATTATGTAGTTCTGACTGTACCATCACTGATGATTATGAAGTTCTGACTGTACAAAGTGACCATTCCATTATCGGTGTTTTATATCGCCCTCCTAGTGGCAATAAGACAAATTTCCTAGAATTCTTAGATTCATATTTAGGTTGGGCTGGTGGCACTGGTTGTAAGCTAGTCCTTGCAGGTGATTTAAATATCGACCTTGCTAAATCATCAAAGTCCAGTTTGAGCTGTGTCACATAATTGAATCCAATGGCTTTGCAAATGTTATCGCCACTCCGACTCGTATTGAACAAAATAACGCTACATTACTAGACGTGTTCATTACTAACATAGAAGCTACAAACTCTTTATCTGGCATACTGAGTGCACCCATTAGTGACCATCTTCCCATATTTATGGTTACAAAGGAAACAGCGTGTCATTCTCATTCATAACAAAAACAATCAATAGTTTTTCAAAATATTAATGAGCACACATTATCTGCATTTCGCAGACAGATATCGTTGACTGATTGGTCAGACGTTATTTGTGAGCAGGAACCTGATCGTGCCTACAACTGTTTCCACGAAAAACTAACAAAAATTTATAAGCAATGCTTTCCGTACAAAGAAAAGAAGCCTGCGCATCAATCTTGCATCAAGGAAATAAAAAGTAAAAATAAACTATTCAAACACTTTTTGATAAATAAGAATGAAGAGACGCTAAAACGTTTCAAAGACCAAAGAAACAAAGTTAACAGTAGGCTGCGCCACGAAAAGTGAAAGTACCTAAACAGCACCTTCAACAATGAAGTAATGAACAAATCGGAGCTAGCTTGGTCAAGACTGACCGAGTTCCTTGGCCGTAAAGGTAACAACTTTCAGCCCACTGAGCTTGTGGTGAACGGTGGCACTATTCGCAATGCTGATTTAGCTAACGTGTTCAATGACTTTTTTGTGTCCTTAACAAAAAAAGCGCACAAGCCAGATTGTACTACACATTTATCAGACAGTACTCCTGAGAGCCCGTTTTTGGCACCGACAGTAGCCAGCGAAATTGCCCACGTTTTCTCGTCTGTAAAGAACA